TTCAGTGATTCCCCATTATAGTCTATGGCCAAATCACCAAAGCTCTCCGAACTGGCGCTGAATCTTCCAAAGCCAATTCGGCCAAATCAATTCGGGACAGCGATCCGAATTTCCAAACTGAATCACTGTCCTCTGAATTGGCCGAAGCCAAAGCCAAATCAAATACTTCCCTATTCACACAGGCCTATTATTTAACAGCTTCACACTCAAAGCCTGGACTTGTCACAGGCAAATCCCAGCAGATGAACTCTGCAGAAGGAACAGACAGGCTCAACTGAATCAATTCAATCTGACAGAGAAAAGTTCCACTATGTACTATAACTTCTCCCAGCATCAAAAGGATAAACAATCAATTTTAAACAAACATGTTTTTTCTTTTAATAAACAGATTACCTTTGATAGAAAATGGCAAATGCTGCAACTGAGTGAATAAGAAATCCTGGCTGGTCCTCAAATATCGCATGGTTGGGCCAGATGTGTCCGAGCATGCACACAATTGATAGATTAGCTGATAGTGAGAACAGATATAATGAATTAATTTGTATTTGCGGTTTAAAAGACACCAAGCAAGAAGAAAAAAATAAGAGTATAATTTCTGTGTATATTTACATTAGCTGTGTATAAGATGAACATCCCACAGTTTAGGTCTACTCCTAAACTGAACAAATCATATAGTTAAGAAAAACCAAACTGTAACATCATTAAAGATGGATTATCCAATCAGTGGATTATTGAAATAGATAAATTCTTATTCGGCCAGTGCCTAGCACCACACAAGGCCATCCGGTCCTTAGTTTGAAACATGAGATTTTTCAATCCTTGAGTCCATAAAGGAAGATTATGTAATCATCCACTGACTAGACTTAATATTTTTACCTGGATTCATTTACTGCAAGACACCAGCTCATCATTGTAGGGATGCCCAATTGATTGATTTTTATTTGTCATCATTGCAGATATAAGAAGAGACAATCAGCACTAGATTTTTATGAGTTTCCTACAAACTGGGGTCGAAAATGTTTATTCTCTGAACAAACAATGGATGGTAAAAAAATAATATAACACTCTCTCTTTAATTATTCAGCCACATGTTAGTAGGAGAAACAGAGCATAGCCTGTTTGAAAGAATAATTATAAATTATTAGCTTTATTAACTAATCATATTTACTAATCATAACATGATTGCCCGTTCTTTATATTGTACATATGGGCTAATACATTTTACTCATCATCACTAGGGACTTACTTAATTTGCGACCAGACAAAAGAATTTTCACACCTTGGCTGTAGCATGAAGAACGAATTTTAAGGGGATTTCCCAGAGTCTCCAGCCCTCACTGCTGAGTGGCGAAGATGCCCTGCAGGAAGGTACAAGGGGGCAGCCACCATCTTGGCTGCTGGCTACCCTTTATGTCACCCTGCCAATCATCACCTTCCCTTCCTGGGCAGGTTACAAGGCAGCAAGGACTGCTGGCTCCCACTGGGGAGACATCATTTTATTTTTATTACATTTTTTAAGTTGATTTTGTGGACAAGTGTGGATTTTGTGGTTTCCGCAAAATCACAAATTAAGTCTCTACTCATAACTGTATGAACAGAATACCTGGATAAACTAGCAGAAACATTTTAAAACAAAACTGTATTAAGCTGCAAAAATCAGTGTTCATTACTAACAGAGAAGAGGTAAATTTTATTCAAGGGACCTATGTTCTGTGTTTGCCAACGCCAAATAGTCTCTTTACCTGATAACACAATTCTGCAAGATGGGGAGATTCTTGCACCGCTGTGGGACCGTTCCTTGTTTCAGTACCCTTCTCCAGTATGTTTAAAATAGCATGAAGGCAAGTCCGTGGGCAACCCAAGACACCTTAAAGCAGGAGATTTTTTTTTTT